AACGAGCTCACGGATTTTGAGGCGTGATTCTTCATAGCGGTCAGTTTGTCTGCCAGCTGGCAGTCCATCGGCGGCAGTGATGCACGCGTGACCAGCGACATGGATCCCATATTTTTGGAAGTTCACATGTTCTTGATCCCACCAGTCCTCCATCCTCTGCTCTCTTTCGAGGTTTGTGATCGCAAGGACAATGGGAACCTTCTTCTCGCAGAGGAATTCATGGAAGAGCCGGTAATTGCCCTGAACCATACCGGAGATTCTGCCAGCGCGAATGCAGAACAGAAGTAGATCGGTGCCGCCTTCCGATTCCAATTTCTTGATGAGCCGATAGGCGTTTCCGACCGACTCGAGGTACTCTTTGATTCCAAGCTGCGGTTCCTCGAGTCCAACGGTATCGAAAACCTTATATGACTCGCCACCGAATCTGATGATGTATTCTTGCCAGTGCATCGTACAGCAGTCCATGCCAGCAGATGTGGCCGCCACCTTCATTCCCGCTAAGAGGTTCACGACTGAACTTTTGCCTACTCCACTCGCCCCAAAGAGTACAATATTCTTATGCCCCTTTCTAATTATTGATGTTTAGTAAAATACGATGCAATGTGCATCCGACGAACGCACCTTGCAGGATGAATGGCAGTAACCCTGTGGACCCCCATCCCATTCTGCGGGAGACAATGCTCGATAAGACTGCAGATGGCGCGGTATGACTGTTCGCGGCGCTGCCTGAGTTCGTCTGTATCACCTTCATCGATGGTCACCGCGGTAATACACGCGTGGCCAGCAAAGTTCATCCCGAGGTCTGAAATGGATCTCTCGTTTTGCCTCCACCACTCTTCCATTTCCGGTTCTCGGGTTTCCAGACCTGTAACGACAAGGACGATGGGAACCTTTCCCTTGACTTTGGAATGCAATAACTTATAGTTGCGTTGAAGCGCTCTGACATCCTTCGTGCCCTGCACACAGTACAAGAGGACATGAACAGCCTTTTTCTTCATAAGAGTTTGAAAGAGATCCTTCAAAGCTCTCTGAGCTTGCGCATTGGGGCCTATTCCCTGAGAGTCCTCATCAAGACCTGCAGTTGAGTTCAGTGACGTCTACGAAAAATAGCGGACTGCACTGACCGGCCGTGTCGAACAGTTGTACCTTTAAGATCTTGTCCCGAGTCACAATATCATGCTCGTACACGGTGGTTTCAATTGTACATCCCATGGCGTCGCAGGACGTCGGCGCTGTTTGTGTCCCAGTGATCAAGTTGACCAAGGAACTTTTACCAGCACCTGTGTCTCCAACAATGACAATATTGCATGAGTCCGTGCAGCGCGAAGCATCATCGACTCCACGGCAGTTGGGGTCAGCTACGCTCTGATTCGAGGTGCAGAACTGATTTCAAGTTAACTTCATGCTGAAGAAGAACCAGACGCCACATACGGATACGGCTGAAGATATTCTCCCAGGAGACAGCGACATTGCAAAGATTGAAGACAATGAAAAGGGCGTCTTGACGAGTGTTGTTGGTGTTTTTGAGTGCCATTAGTCTTGTATTCAGTCCCCAATTCGTTATAATGTGACGTGTTCCAGGCGCAAGATTTAAAGACCGATCCCGAAGCCTGGATTCAGCATGTTCCAAGCATGCGGCAAAAGCATTGCGACTCTGCGTGACGTACTTGGCCTCTGAATGTATTAAGGCCGGAGGACCCTGGTTCAATCCTCAAACCTTAGTCTCCCCTACTACTAGTGGCCAGACCGGTCAAAGGAACTCGTTACGTGATCGTAGCGGCGGCGAGCGCCAGTCCCCGATTCCGTTGTCGGGCAAATTCCTTGATCTGATACCTTTGTTGTCTCACGCACTATAGCCTGTAGTCGTGATTTCAGCACACCATCAGTGGGAACTGTACAGCCAGAACGCACCTATCAAATTTATACCAGGCAAGGTACATTCTCGGGAGTGAGGCATTGTTTAGATGGGAAGAACTGGGTCAACCCAACCTCACATACCCTGGGTATCATGATATATCGTGTGAAATGCATTCAAGTTGGGTCACCCTCAGTAACACCCAGATGATCGGGAAGATGAGACGATGCGATCACGTTTGTCAGATTATGTCACCCTAGTGACCCGTTTCAATTTCATCCAGGTACAGTGGCAAGAGGCATTTGCCGAAAACCGCATAGCAGATGAGAATAAAGTTAAGGTTGCAAGACGGGTACAGAGAAATTAGACGACAAAGACTCTCCTCTACTAATATGGGAGTCGGGGATGAGTTAGTAAACTACATGCGGTAGTCATGTGTGACGTATCGACGAGGACAAAGTAAGCAAGCGTAAGGTAAATATCAAAATCACAATGGATCTTGCTCGATCATATCAGCCAATTGTTTTGCGACCTCATTGGATATCCCGCAACGCTTCGTGAGAAGAGGAACAAGATCCTTTCTTCTCACACGCGAATTCCCTATAAGTAGAATCTTCAGCTTGCGCATCAACAAGACGAACAGGTTATCGCCTCCTATCCATGCTTGCCGCTGCCCGTCAGCAGTAAAATGCTTAACAAGCTCGCGGATTTTGAGGCGCGATTCCACGTAGTGGTCTGTCTGTGTGCCAGCTGGCAGTCTATCAGCGGCGGTAATGCACGCGTGATCCGCAACACGAATCCCATGTTTTTGGAAGCTTTTATGATTTTGATCCACCAGTCCTCCATCCTCTGCTCTCTTTCGAGGTTTGTGATCACAAGGACAATGGGGACCTTCTTCTCGCAGAGGAATTCGTAAAAGAGTCGGTAATTGCTCTGCAGAGCAACGGTCTGTCTGCCGGCGGGAATACAGTACAGAAGCACATCAATACCGCCTTGCCTATCCAATTCCTTGATCAGCGCGTAGGCATTTGCAACAGAGTCGAGGTACTCTTTGATTTCAAGCCACGGTTGCTCGAGTCCAACGGTGTCGAAAACGTTATATGACTCGCCATCGAATCTGATGATGTGTTGCTGCCAGTGCATCGTGCAGGGATCCATGGTGGTAGATGTGGCTGCTACATTCGTTCCTGCCATGAGGTTCACGACAGAGCTTTTGCCTACTCCACTCGCTCCAAAGAGTACGATATTCTTATACCTCTTTCTAATTATTGATGTTTAGCAAAATACGGCGCAATACGCGTCTGACGACGAAATACATACCTTGCAGGAGAAATAGCAGGCACCCTATGAACCCCCGTCCCATTCTGCGGGCAACACCGTTCGATAAGGTTGCAGACGGCGTGGTATGACTGTTCGCGGCGCTGCCTGAGTTCGTCTGCATCACCTTCATTGATGGTCAACGCGGTAATACACGCGTGGCCAGCAAAGTTCATCCCGAGTTCAGAGATGGATTTTTCGTTTTGCCTCCACCATTCTTCCATTTCCGGTTTTCGGTCTTCCAGCCTGTAACGACAAGGACGATAGGAACATTTCCCTTGACTTTGGACACTATCTTGTAGTTGCACTCGAGCGCCGAGGCGTCCTTTGTGCCCTGCACACAGTACAAACGAGGATATGTTTCTTCGTAAGAGTTTGAAAGAGATTCTTCAAAGCATTTTTAGCTTGCGCATTGGAGACTGCTCCCTGAGAGCCCTCGCCAAGACCTGCAGTTTAGTTCAGTGACGCCCACGAAAAATGGCAGACTGCACTGACCGGCCGTGTCAAACAGTTGTACCTTTAAGGTCTTGTCCTGAGTCACAATATCATGTTCGTACACGGTGGTTTGAATTGTACATCCCTCGGCGTCGGGGGATGTTGGCACCGCCTGCGTCTTGGTAATCAAGTTGACCAAGGAACTTTTACCAGCGCCTGTTTGTCCGAAAATGACAACATTGCAAGTATCTTCACGACGCGAAGCTTCCTCGAGTCTAAGACATTTGCAGCAAGCTGCCCTCTGATCTGACTCGGAGGTACGGGACTGACTTCTAGTTAACATCATGCTGAGGAAGAGCAAACACTACGTACGGTGGATGATGATCTCCTAGAAGGCGACGGCATTGCAAAAATTGAGGACAATGAAAGGAGCACCTTGACTTGCGTTGTTGGTGTTTTTGAGTGCCATCAGTCTTGCCTTCAGTCCCCGATTTGTTGGAATGTGACGTGTTCAGGCGCCAGATTTAAAGACCGATCCGGATGCCTGGATTCAGCATGTTCCAAGCATGCGACAAAAGCATTGCGACCCTGCGTGACGTACTTGGCCTCTAAATGCATTAAGGTCAGAGGACCCTGGTTCAACCCTCAGACCTTCAGTCTCCCCTACTGGTAGCCAGACCGGTCAGAGGAACTCGTTAGAACGTGACAAGTCCAGGCACCAGATTTGAAGATCGATCCCGACGCCTGGATACATCATGCTGAACGCATGTAAGAATGGCAAAGGACAACTATCAGTCTGCCTGTAGCTCAGTACGGTGCTAGAAACTTTGCTTCCAGATGGCGTAATCAACTTCGGCCAACCATCATAATGGTCCACCTGATTCAGCTAGAACCTGGTTTAGCTAATTTGTTGGGTAGATTCATATACTTACTTGAGCAGTGAGCACTCAGCTTGCGTATTACAATGTATGATATGGAGTGTTGCCGGAGCGATCAACCCTACAGGAACCATGCAAACAAGGAGGACACTAGGGCATAACAGCATGTGTAGAGCAGAAAGGTCCGAGTCACAGCTAACTTATTGGCATAAGACCGATGCTGCTGAAGCCTGAATGAAAGGGGCTAGTAACAGGAAGAAGAGAATTCGACTATGTAGATGTTGTGCAGATGAGCATTGTATAGTAGTAGCATATAGGTGACACCAATGACAGAATTAAGTACTATACTTACAGGCTTTTGGCAATATTCAATGGGCAGCGGGTGTTATGATAGTATTATGTAATCGGCGCAATGGTTGGAGTGGCAGGGGAACTAGCCAAACTCCTGCTAAACAGAAGCAAATACGGTGTTCGATTTGTGAGTCATTATGTAAAGGCATCAAAGCACCAATGGTTGCATTTAGAATTGATTCAGAAACTATCTTCTAGTACTAGTACTAAGCCACTTATCGCAATGCCTTCCTCGCATGCATGGAACATGCTGAATCCATGCGTCAGGATCGATTTTCAAGGCTGACGCCCGGCCCGTCACGTTCTAACGAATTGAAACTTCGCAAGGCAAGATTTATGGTACTTCAAAACTCACCAACAACTCAAGACGCCCTTTTCGTGATTTTCGATCTTTCCAACGGCGCCATGTCACCTTCTCTCAGGAGAGTATCGTCGACTGTATCTGTATGTGATGTCTGGCTTTTCCTCTGCAAGAAGTTAACTTGAAGCCAGTTTTATACCTCGGAACATAATACAGCTGGCCACAGTCACCATCCAATCGAGGATGGCGACATCGTCGAAGAAACAGCCGCAGATAAAATTTCCTTAGTCGGCTCGGCCATTGTGACGCAAACAGCGGCGATGTCCCTCGATGCAATGTCGTTTTCTTCTGAGAGGGCATCATCCACCGTATTCGTATGCGGCGTCCGGCTCTTCCTCAGCATAAAATTAACTTGAAGTTAGTTCCATCCCTTATGTCAAAGAGCAGCCGGCCACAGCTTGGACCGAATCGAAGATGCTCCGCATCACCCAGATGCCTGCAATGTTGTAGAGACGGGCGCTGGTCAAAGTTCCCGGGTCGATGTGAACACTAGGACGCAAACGTCGCCAGCGCCCCTCGACACAATGTTGCTATCTCCTGAGAGAATATTGTCCACCGTACCCGTATGTGGCGTGTGGCTCTTCCTCAGCATGAAATTAACTTGAGGTCAGTTCCATAGTCCCTCAGGTCAGAGTGCAGCTAGCCACAGTTCAGATCGAGTCGAGGACAAAAATCACACGAGTAGCTGGTTTAGTAGGACCCGAGAAAAGAAAAACCCCACTATGGTATCGACGATCCTCGACACAACGCCGCCGCCTCCTGGGACAGTATCATCCACCGTATCTGTATGTGGTCGCTGGCTCTTCCTCAGCATGACTATAACTTGAAGTCAGTTCCACACCTCGAATCAGAGTATAGCTGGCCACAACTGCCGTCGAATAAAGAAAGCTTTATGTCGCAAAGACATGTGCAATGTTGTCATTTTTGGACAAACAGGCGCTGGTAAAAGTTCCTTGGTCAACTTGATCGCTGGGGCGCGAAGGGCACCGACGTCTTCCAACGCCAGGGCATGTACAACTAAAGCTACCGTGTACAGGCATGACGTCAAGATTCAAGACAGTACCTTGAAGGTACAGCTGTTCGACACGGCCGGTTAGTGCAGTCCATCACTCTTTATGGGGTGTCACTGAACTGGATCACAGGTCTTGATGAAGACTGTAAGGGAACGGTCCTCAACAAACAAGCCCAGACAGATCTGAAGAAGCTCCTTAGAACTCCTATGCCGAAAGGGAGCATTCATCTCCTTTTGTACTGTGTGCAGGGCACAAGGGACACTTCGGCGCTCCAGCGCAACTACAATTTAATGTACTCCGAAATGAAGGGAAGAGTTCCTGTCGTCCTTGTCGTTACAGGTCTGGAAGACCGAGAACCGGAAATGGAAGAGTGGTGGAGGATTAACGAGAGATCCATCTCAGACCTCGGGATGAACTTTGCTGGCCACGCCTGTATTACTACGTTGACCATTAGTGAAGGTGATACAGATGGGGTCAGGCAGCGCCACGAACAGTCATACCTCGCGATCTGCAACCTCATCGAACATTGTCGCCTGCAGAATGGGATTGAGGTCTCCGAGATAACTGCTACTCCTCCTGCAAGGTACGTACGTAGTCGCCAGATGATCTTTGCGCCGTACTTCGCTAAACATTGATAAATTAGGAAGACTAAAAACATCGTACTCTTTGGGGAGGCGGGTGCAGGCAAAAGCTCAGTCGTCAACCTCATGGCAGGAAGGGAGGTAGCAATCACATCTCTTAGCATGCGACGCTGCACGCTCCATTGGCAAGACTATGCCATCGACTTCGATGGGGGGTCTTATAAGGTGTTCGATACCATTGGCATCGAGGAATCGGGACTTGAAATGAAAGAGTACCTCGAGGCGGTCGCAAACGCCTTCAGATTCATCAAGAAGTTGGATGCAGAAGGCGGCGTTGACCTGCTTCTGTTCTGCGTTCGCGCCGGCCGATTCACCGCTGCGCTTCAGAGCAATTACCGATTCTTTCATGAATTCCTCTGCGAGAAGAAGGTTCCCATTGTTCTTGCAATTACGAACCTCGAAAGAGAGCAGAGGATGGAGGACTGGTGGGATCGAGAACGTAGCATCTTCGCTCGACATCAAATCCAGGTCGCCGACCATGCATGCATAACCGCTGCTAACGGATTAGAAGGTGTACACCAGCGCCTTTATGAAGAATCGCGTATCGCAATCCGCAACCTTGTCAAGCAGAATATCGTTGGCGAGCACAACGAAGTATGGACGGGGGGGAACTGGAACCATGTGTTCGTGTCGTTGGTGCGTGCGCTGAAGAAGATTCTTGTAAAGGATCCGCATATCAGAAAGATGAACCTACTGGTCAACTCACGAAGTGTTGTGGTATGCCTCGAGAAACCGCAGGACTGTTGGCCGATATGATCGAGCACGGGGAGGTCAGAGTAGATACAGCTTAACTTGCGTCTTTGTTTTGCTCTTCTGCTTGCAGACTATCCTTGAAGGATACATGATATCTATGATCTAAGCGTTTCTTATTCCCGCTTCCTTATCACTGTGTACAGTACAATCGATTATCACTCCCAATTTGAATATGAACGTTGTTCAGGATGGAGCACACTGATTTGGGAAATTTACCGCCACCGACGGTGGGAAATTCACGGCATTCCATCGCCTTCGAAGGTCAGCAAGTCGTTCTGGCGATGACGGATATGGCCCTTTACACTTTCTCCAGCTAGCGCCGAACGCACTCAGGGCTACTTAACGGTCGAAATGTCAGAGATTCAACCCATGATCGCGCCGCAGGAAGACGGCTCTGGTAGTGTACCAGAAACAGCACACGAACCACCGCAACCAACGCCCATTACAGACCAAGAGGTGGGAGAGTATCGGGAGCAGGATCGTTTCCTACCAGTGCGCACTATCGTTCGTCTGGCTCGATTGACTTGCTTATCTTTCTGATAGATTGCAAATGTCTCCCGTATCATGAAGCAGTCCGTTCCACACACCGCTAAGATTGCCAAGGATGCCAAGGAGTGCGTCCAGGAATGTGTTTCAGAGTTCATAAGTTTCATTACTTCTGAGGCCGCTGAGAAATGTCAGATGGAGAAGCGGAAAACAATCGGAGGCGAGGATATCCTGTACGCCATGGTATCTCTAGGGTTTGAGAACTATGCGGAAACACTGAAGATTCATTTGGCAAAACTGAGACAGGTGTGTATTTCTTCCGTGACATGCTTCTATGATGGGTTGTATTAAAACTTGTGTCAGCACCAAGCAGGATCCTCGTCGAACCCGCGACAAGAGCATAGAGAAGATTGATTCTACTTTCTTGCACCCTGTACTAGATCCGTGTGCCACTGTATCAACTGCTTTCGCAATGCCCATGTTTTGCAACTCACTTGTCCGCTTTCAAATGATACGATCGCCAACGCGCCGCGGTAGCAGCGTTGTCCAACAACTCACGGTACTTACTGAGATGCCCTTGGGTCATATTTCCTTGACGCGCTCCCTGGTAACAATACATATCGCATTCCAAATACAATATTCAGTACTATGATTCTGAATTCGGTTGAGATTAGATTTACAATCAATAATTTACGGCGTACCGGTATTCTGAGGTGGATAAACCTCTCGGCAAATTCCGTGCCAAACTCCGACACATCATTCTCAACTACACGACCAGCGTCAACGACGTCGACGAACACCCTCAAATAATCCCCAATGACTGTAAGTCGCTGTTCTTGTATCTGAACCCCTTGATCGAGCATTGCGCCACTTCTGACACGATTTTTGATGGAAACTGGTCGAGTTTGAGATGGATGGAGGTGCCACATATCCGATGTAGTCAATGCATTGGTGAAACACCTATATCATATGGCGCATAGCGAACGATCATTGTGTCTCTGATGCTCGATTGAATGGAAGTCTAATGACGTTATTCGCTTGTAGGACTCAACTTTCAAACGTTTCGTAGAGGTTGGACGAGGTACGACTGTTTACAACTTGTGCCGCACTGAACGAACTAAAGTGTAAACAGTGGTCCTTCTCAAGTCCGGCCCATCTGCAGGCAAGATCGCTGTCATTGCTGAGATCATAGACCACAACCGGGTGTGTGCAATGATATCATGCGCCAGAAAATCAACTGATCTCATACTGTCCTGGCAATGTATAGGCAATTATCGATGGCCCAACCACCGGTGTACCACGCCAATCATTCCCCTACCGCCACCTCACACTCACCCCTATTTCTCTAACAAAACTTCCTCGCGGCGCAGGGTCTGGTGTCATCCGAAAGCAAGCGGAAAAGGAGGGTGTCGTTGCTAAGTGGGAGTCCTCAACATGGGCCAAGAAGCGTGCTGCCATGGAGAAGAGACGGTCACTAAACGACTTTGAGCGTTTCAGCGTGATGGTCACAAAGAAGCAGCGGAGAGATGTCGTCAGGAAGACCCTGGCCAAGGCTGCATAGAGGATGTATGGATACAAAATATCAGACATCTTGGTAGGATGTCGCTTCGCTGCATGATCCACACTTCCCTCACATCTGTTATGCCTACCATGATATATGCATGCACCATGCCCGCGCTATATTGCTAAACATTCACCTCGAAGTAAGATCTGTTATTCTCAACTAGTCGGCTTCTCCTGGGTTTGAGTGATACCCCTTTTTGTTCTTTCGACCATTGCTTCTGCCTCCACCTCTACTAGAGCAGCTGATGCCCAACTATGAAAACCCCCCTTGTCAAACGCTTCTCTAAGGCGGACCTCTGCTTCTTGCCAATTCCATCCCACGGGTTCAGATGCAGGATTTTCCGTCCGCGCAGAATCATTAGCATGGGGTTCAGCTGGACGATATATTCGGTGTGAGAGGACGGGTAATTTGGTCAGCACCGCATGACGGAGACGTTCCGCAAACTCGTTGGTCTATAAGAAAAAGTTGCTTGAGTTCCAGAAAGAAAAATCATGAGATTGCAAGGACGCACATCATGAGCATTGAGAGTTTTCATTACTCCCCAAATAGAGGCTGTGGCACCCAGCGTCACAAGAGCAGTAGCGATGCCAAAGGCTTTGAGGGTGTACAGAGGACCGTTGAAAAACTGTTCACCATTGTCTCCGTTTGACACAGGTACTTTCAGAGGCAGCGGATGAGCTAAAGCCTCCCTCGATACTGTTTGTGAGGCAGGTCGGGATCGTATTGGAGAAGAATGCGATGAGACAGGCAGCGTTGATGGTCCTCGCCCTCGCCGAGGAGGCGCAGTAGCTTCCTGAAGACTCTGGGGAATAACACCACGCCTATATCGTCGTAGCATGACTATCGGCACAACAAGTGCTACGGATGAAAAGGCCAGCTGCGGTATATAGTGATGTTCCGGCCCGGCTTCAAGCCCCGGGCCAGCCGAAGCCAGGCCTAAATAAGCCAAGCCGAGCCCAGGCCCAGGTCACGGCCTGCCCAGGGCTTGGGCCTGGGCTTCAATTCTGGAAAGCCTAAGCCGGCGGCTCAAGCCGCGGCTTGGCACTTGCTACTGCAATATTGCGGATGGACGAGGGAATTTGAGGCTGCTGATCACGAAAAGGTGTGTTATTCAAGTTGTTTTTCTGCATTCAATTTACGAATGGCATCGACATTATTACTTATACAAGCACGTCGCTCGGAGTCACTGCAGTGACCTCCCCGAGCAACACCAGTATTGATTCAGACGGTATACTGTCAGTACAGAAATTACTCTGGGTGTTTGCTCGAAAACACTGGTCTTGGTCTTGCTGGACTCTTATCCGAGATGCTAGAGGATACTGTGTACGTATGATGACGGCCCAGGCGAACCTCCAAAGTTTCATCATAACCAGTCAATATTCTTATGACTGCTACCCCGACCCCCGAAGCCCCACCCCGCAACGCCAAGGTCTGATGCAAATCTACCAACACATCATCAGGTCAGGTGCCAACTTATCTCACGAGTATAACTCACGCCCAAACACTCGCCGGGTTCTTTTGGAATTGTCGTCTCAAGCACTTCTTGGGCGACCTTGTCATTGGTGATTGACCCGACACACCCGACGACAAGCTTATTCCCAACAGCTTGTTTGACTGCCTGGGCGAACGGCGCTTGGTATGCCGGCCCGGATTTCATGATGGCTTTTGGGTGGCTACCACCGCTAGAGACGTCGAGGAAGTCAACACCATGCTCGGCAAGAATACCAGCAAGTTTGACGGTATCCTCGACACGCCACGATGGTTCATTTGGAAGCGCTTCTTCGAGCCATTCAGTCGCAGAAATCCTACGAGGCATCATTCAGATCAAGCAAGAAGAACATCTTATGGACTCGAAGATATCTCAGGAAGAGTGGCATGTCTTCAGGAATAACGTCACGGATAGCATCCACGACCTCGAGAGTTAAACAAATTTGATTCTCAAAGCTTCCGCCGTCCTCGTCTGTGCGTGTGTTGCTGATGGGGCTCAAGAAGGAGCACAGCAGATAGCCGTGTGCGTTGTGAATTTCAATGACGTCAATACCAGCTTTCAACGCTCTCTTCGTAGCTTCTACAAACGCGACGACGGTCGCCTTGATCCGGTATAAATTTTCGATTTTTACATTTATAATTATGTTCACGCATCCCGCAAAAATTTAGTGTGTGGGCCGCGGCCTGCTTGGGCCCAGGCCGCGGCTTTGGGCTGGCTTGGGCTCACGGCTCAGGCTTGAAATCCGGCGAGCCTAAGCCCCTCCAGGCCGAGCCTAAGCCGGGGCTTTGAGCCCAAGCCGGGCCGGAACATCACTAGCGGTATATATGAACTGCCAGTCCATACAATTGATTGAATGCGACCGGACTACTCACCAAGGTCACTGGAACCCATTTCGGAACTTGGTGATTAGTTCCAAAGATACTCGTCCGTAGACCGTCTTCTTTTGCATCATCGGAAGACGTCGTTTGTCGCGTCATTCGCGATGGTAAAATGTGAGTCGCAAGGCGGGAGGAAGTCTAAAAGAAGGATCACGTGGTGTTATTGACGCACATATGCATTTGATCTACTAACACGTCCTTTGAATTTGTGCCGAATCATCACGCTGGCCAAACGAAAACACTCAAGTTGACTGCCATCCGCGAGAGTAAGCAACACTTGTAAGTGTTTATGGTCTAAGCGTTCATGTATAGTTGCTGAGTAACATTTTCATTTCGACGCGCACCGATACTAGCACCCATCGACATATTTATTGTCTATAGATCGTCTCATTGCCGGCGGCTCGACGCACCATGCCTGACCCGCGATTTGCGCGGTTGAAGACAGACCTCCGTTTCTGACCGCCCCCAAGGAACACCATTCAAAAGTTGTACTTGACGAGTGTTTCAAAGGAATTTTTGACGAAGACAAGGCGAGAAGAAGAAGAAATTGAAACAAAAAGGCAAAAGAAACGAAAAACTGGGTGCGCTTCAAACTTTATCTACCGCTGCTTCTCACCTCGTATTGTTGCTACAGGCCGAGTGGATAAATTTGGTTGTAAAATCTTTGAAACTCTTGAAAGGACAACCTCAGGCGGTCTTATCGGCTGGAACATGAAGAAGATGAGGAGGCAGAGACTCCAACTTCCACGATACCTGACTATGCTTGTGGTGGTGTCCTCATGGAGTCCTCCGAATCAGAAGCGGAAAGTCAGGGCGCAGGTGACTCTGACGACGAGAGTGATGGCCCTGGATTTGTCACATTAGGCAGAGACCTCGATGAAGAAGGTGAGATCGATCTTGATGAGAGCACATTTGCCGATCTGGACGCACAGGCTGCTGCATATGCGAGGACAGCCCAGGAGGACAATAATAAAGAAGCTACAGAGAATACAAGAAGGCTAGCTATTGTTGATCTTGATTGGGACCATGTCCGTGCAGCGCATCTTTACAAAATATTTCCGTCACTTGTTTCGCCAGCTGTGCCTGCTACCCTTGCGGCGCCTGTGCCAATACCACCCAAGGATGAAAAGCCTCTCAAGAACATGAAAAGTGCAAAGGCGACGGTCGCAAGAGGGAAGGTGCTGAGCGTCCGTGTCTATCCGACTGAGTTTGGGAAATAGCGCATCGCAAGAGAGGAAACGGAGGGACCGCCTGTAGAGGTATTCAAAACGAAGATAGAAAACGAAGATGATGTCAATGAACGGACGATTCACGAAACCAGAGACGGAGCGGACTACGATGAGGACGCTTTGAGAATGTATCAGTTGGAGAAATTACGGTGCGCTATCTCCTTAAATATTTTGGGCAGTGTTCAACGAAATGCTCAAAGGTATTATTACGCAGTTGTTGAATGCGACACTGCTGAAGCTGCTGTGCACATCTACAACGAACTCGAAGGTACCGAGCTTGAGCGTTCAGCAAATGTGTTCGATCTCAGCTTTGTGCCTGGTGAGATGACATTCGATGAAGAATATCGGTGAGTCCGGTTTGACATTATTTGTGGACATTCGTCTAACTGGAGTCATGTGCAGCGACGAGGCGATAGATGATCCTGGAACACGGTAATGAGTAATGGTAATGTGTCTCCGAGACGGAAGAATATGAATATTGAAGCAGCGAATATTGAAGCAGCGAGAAATAGGATGGAAGCAGTGGGTCACTGTTGCAGTCAACGACCTCCGAAAAATAAGGATCGTAGTGAGTGGCGAATTCCTTGACATGTCCAACATATAACACCAGGAGAGTGCGACTACCCGTGAACATACCCATACACCGCGCTGACGGGTACGGTATGACTACGGGTAGCACATCTCTACACCGTATCCGTTGCCCGCCGTACCCGTGACCCCCATACCTGTGCTATACCCTATTTCGGAATCAAGGTTAGCTGGGCGATAGATGTGGAACAGGTATTTCGCCCTTTCCAGCGGACTTATGCCGCCGCTGAGGTGATTTCCTGCTGGTCCGCATTTGAGGCGATAAGGCTCAGCTATCGACATTTCGAATGCGGTTCGATGCACTTCGCGGTCAATGAGGTTTACGAGGTGTGCACGAAATTCAGAACCAACTATGAGTTGTAGACCACTCAATAGCTTCAAATAACTTTTATTGAACTTCTAGTACGGCAATATGGAGTTTGTATGATGTTCGTTGAGAACGAAGACTCTGCGGATGAAATATCAGCTATGTTTGCAACGTGATTGGTCAGTTTCGACATCTAATAGTAGTTCACGGATAGCTACTGACCTTTTTTATGTAAAGGCCTTGTTTTACTTTTGCAGATAAATTTATATGGTCAATAGGTTTGTGCAAGCAAAATTGTGTACAGACTGGTGTGCTTACATTCCTATTCCAGTTGGAGGGTGATCTGATGGTAAATTCAGGCTCTGAAAGCGAAGGTAAATGTCCGCACGGACACGACTTCCGTAGTTAAGTATCAGATACAGTTGTTCTGATAGTGTTGCCGCGAGACGAAGTGAACCGAGACGAAGTGTCACTTCGTTCTGACTTCGAGAATCGAGGGTAGAACGAACCGAAGTACATCGAAGTCGGTCAGAGTGACGAGCCAATCAGATTCTTGCTAGATTGTAGCTTGTAGCTCAATAGATATGAAGTGACCATGTACTAGATACGTGTAGATATGAATTAGCTACGCTAAGGCTAAATCTTCCTCGTCATCGTCGTCAGCATTCTGCATGAGGTCTGAGAGCTCGTCAAGCTTTCCGCTACTGATCAACTCCTCCACAGCTCGTCGAGTCAAAGGGCCTGACAATTTGTAGTCCTCTTCTCGAGCAATCAAATCATCAGTGAAACTGAGCCTGTCTTGCCTGTAGGAGAACTTGATAATTTGCAATGCTTCCATCACCCACGGTGAGAGCTGGTGAGAGTCTGTTCCGATGTAATGTGCACGTCTCTTTGCTGGATGAAAAGACGCGCTCGCAGGGTACAGAGGAGGCCTGTGCAGGTAAAATATTCATGGCAACACGGAAGAGGAGTGGGTAAACCCTTTCCATGCGCTGTTTGAGATTTGCATCAATGTTATTGTGTTTTGTTAACTGAAATTTGAACATACCTCCAATATCATACGGGGTCTGTCACGCACTCGCCCGCGTGAAACGTGACTGGTTCATGTTCATAACATTTGAGCTCCCGCAAGACATCCTGCTGATCCTCTTCGAGTTCCTTAGCCCGCTGCCTCGCAATCTCGTCCGCAGATGATGATTGAAGCGATGACGATGGCGGTAGTGTCGAAATAGGTGTGACAGGCAATGAGACATACCGTAAGTTTTCAAGAGTATTTGGTGCGCTGTTTGCAAGTCCATAGGGTTGATGAGAATAGAATGCGGCCGCAGTGGTCTGTTGCGGCGCCATAGTACTAGTGCTGGGGCCTGGGACACTGTATCAACTCATTTTTCAATGTGAATTCAATGTTCATTCATGAACAATTGATACTTATATGGTGGCACACCCGAAGTCAGTTGCTGGTCTCCTGAGGCGGCGACATTCAATAGCTGGTAAGGAATTGAATCGGACAGCATTGGAGGCGTGGCCCACTAGCGCAACATGAAGCTGAGTTCCGTGCAGTACCACACAGGATTGTGACAACTTGAAGACTTCTGAACACATTTGCAGCTTCATACATTTGAGCGCACACAAGTACTACTGTGAGATATCACACTGTCACATCATATCTAAACGATCACTGACAAATCCGGTGTAGATAAAGCACCTCGTTGCCACCTCGTTGATTTTCCTGAACGAGGTGGATCGAACTGCCTCAAAATTCGAACCGAAGCGAACTTACCTCGAGTTCACCTCACTTCGACGGCAACACTAGTTGTTCATTAATTATTACTCTTTAGCTATCCGTGAGAACGGTACATTCCGGATCTCATTAATGTGACGTCTTGCATATCACGCACCATTATTAGTTGACCGTGCTCCGCATGGTAATTCAAACTCCTCGCTTCGCCACTCGACTTGTCCGTGGTGTAAGTACAAGCTTGCCCACATCATTGATAACATAGTCAGTCAAAACGTTCATCGTCCATTTCAACGACCTTTTCGATAACTTGAACTCATATTCTGGGACGTATGGTGGCACCAATACTTTGCAACTCCAAGCATGACGGCTTTTGAAGAGTGAGTTAATGCGCCTTCTCTGAATGCGCCATAGTTATATTTCGCAGCGATACCGCTATTAATGACCTCACACACCAAATTCCTGAGAAGCTCGGAACACCATTTACATCCGGATCATTTGGGAAGGTTTATCGGTGTAGTATTAAGACCACTAAAGGCGAAGTGGAGGTCTGTGTGACCAACCCAAGTTCATCAAATGTCTATCTAATATTCATCAGATCGCAGTGAAGGTGTTCATGACTGATCGTTCGAAGTCTGTGGAGGAATTTGAAAAAGTCAGTCTTTCTTATGCCGATTTGAATCTCAGTTCACTCAGTGCTCTATGTAGCGAATACGTCGAGAACTGAAGGTGTGGCTTAGACTGAAACACCCGACTATCGTACCGCTACTTGGTATCGCATACGTTGACCCCCCATTACCGGCTCTCGTCTCCCAGTGGATGTCATCTGGAACATTATACATCTACCTCGAGGAAGCTACTACCATCACCGTTTCCACTAAAGTTAGATTGGTGAGTCCTTCGTTTACACCAATCACATCCAACGAGAGTTTATACTACTAGGCCAAGGGTATTGTTGACGGCCTCAATTATCGTTCGTCCATTTGTATCATGACGTTGGTTTTTGTTCTTGATGCCCACCCAGTTCACTCGGAGAACGTTGTACACGGAGACCTTCATCCTGTATGTATGGTTATCTCTTTGTGGAGGTGGGACTCATTAGTAAGCCCCAGGGAAATGTGCTCATAGATGGTTCAGGAAATCCATGCCTGATAGATTTCGGTCTTGCAACAGTCGAAGGTGAAGCAGAGTTGCAGTTGAATACGACGACCGCAGAACGCAGTTTCAACTCTCGATGGCGTGCACCTGAGGTAATTGGAATCGAGCGTGGGCCTGAAAGACCGAATTTCAAAAGTGATGTCTATTCATTCGGTGGTGTCATGTTTTTTGTAAGATCTCTGTCTCTGCAGTCTTACCCTGACCTTTCTCCTCTCAGATCTTTTCGGGAGATAGGCCGTGGAAAGAGAAGAACTCGATTCAAATCTGCATCACACTGTCGAAGAAAACCGACCATGAGCGTCCCAAAAATATCCTTGACGATCAGTGGAACTTGATTCGACAATGCTGGTATTGGGAACCAGGCAATCGCCCGAGCGCTGCGGACATCCTTGTGTCCATTGATCAATCTAAGATTAGCTTGCAGGTTCCGGCGTCTCGTCAATCCATTGCCCGTCAGTACTTCAAGGGAGCCGTGCGTTTTATCATCATGATGTTAAAGTGCCAAGCGGATCAGACCCTGGGACCCTTGCATGATCTCTCTATACGCACTGCCCTATTGCCTCCTATTAGTCTGCTCGACATCACTGAGCAAATAAGCAAGGGATCATCCCGATACCCTGTCGCGCAAGGCAGCTTTGGGGATGTTTGGAAGTGCATACGCAAGCACCCTCGAATCACGGTAGAGGCGAGTAGATCCTTCAAGTTTGCACCTGTTGTTATACGCCAATAACTGACTGTCTCCCTGTCTACCAGGTTGCAGTAAAGTGTTTGCGACTTGAGATTCCGAACGTTAGTTGCAAGACACAAATTACTGAGGTTCGGTGGCTCACGCACGGGTACCATGTGTTTATTTGCTAATGTACGGCACTTCAGAGGCTGGAACGCCACTTGCAGGGGAACACTCAACTGAAACACGCCAATCTGTTACCTTTTCTGGGAATAACTCGAGGGTTCGGTCCGCTGCCTGCTATTGTCTCCCCATGGATGCACAGAGGCTCACTTGTCATGCTTCTGGAACGTGATTTCCAGCAACTTACTCTCACTCGAATGCTCCAAATCGTGGGTGTTTTGTCGTGGTATGGCTCGCATCTTAACATTTGCTGTTACAGCTCAAAGATGTCGCTTCAGCTCTTCAGTACTGTATGCGACAAATGTCAGTATTCGGCGCAAAGCTAACATGAATATCAGTGCACTCCAAAAATATAGTACACGGCGATCTCACCGGCGTGAGTACCACAGATACCTTCCTCATCGAAGAAATTATTGACGCGACTCAGAACAATGTTCTCATCGATGAGAACGGCAACGCCTTAGTGGCTGACCATGGAATCTCTATTGTTTGTGCCGAGCTCAATGGCGTGACATTTATCAGGAGCAATGTGCGATGGACCGCACCTGAAAGCTTTCAAGTCACGGAAGATGACGAGTCAATAAACTTGCCCCAATTGCCATCAGACATCTATTCTTTCGGGTGTATCATGTTGCAGGTTTGTGGCGGATCTTGGCACTATGCAAAGTGATTATTATTCTCCTTGCAGGTCTTTACAGGAAAAGTTCCGTATTCCGAATTTCGAAGTGACCATCAAGTTACCGTGCAGATACTGAGAGGCCGGAAGCCTGCTCGACCAGTGGCTCCGCCTATTGCGGATGCTCCATGGGATTTCATGCAGAAGTGCTGGCTTGATGAGCCGGAACACAGGCCTTCAGCCAAGGAAGTCCTGATATATATACAGGGACAGCTGAAACTGCTAGAGGGCGGCTCCTGACTCTCCCATGCGACTCATGATGTTGTTGTAAGGAAGCCTACGGCTTTGGTGCTGAGCGCTGGACGCTCGCTCGGACCTACACTTCAATCATTGTGACCATAGTACACACTAGGCCTCCCATTATATTTCCTTTTCCGTTTCTACTTTATCTTTTCGCATCCTTACTCCCGAAACACCTTTGTCTACATTTTGTAAGCATACTGCTTACTACACGTCATGAGCGACGTCATTTGTCTGTGCGATGTCATGATTGGACACTGCGTGTTGTTTGTTCCTTATTTGTTCTCTTACATATATAAGACTGGTTTCCCCTGTACACATATCTCACCTTCTACCTTACCGCCGAATCCATATGCTCATCCATTCTTGGTTGAAGCTGACACCTCCAGCGCAAGATCTGAATCGAGGATCAGTAGCAGGGCACATTCAGCGCACTGCAGTCGTAAGTCAGGGTGAGATAACCCACAAGGACATGCATTGAGCTCATGCTTATATGAGGATTTTCGTTGTGTAAAATCGCTTGGGCTTGACTAGTAGTGACATGAGGCTAACACGTGAAGTTGCACGCTGTGGGGCCTGGGCAAGCCGCGATGCCAGTAATTGGACGTAATTCACCCCATATATCCTACCATACTGTCGACATTCTTCACCAAGAACTTAACCACGCCCGCATGATACGTTAGGGCCACGGAGGGGCTGTGGTGACGGAGAGGTTTGAGCATACAGAACAACCCAGGCTACTTGCAGGACTTTGTTTTGGCGGTTCAGCCTGGCCAATTCAGAGGATGATAGGAAGGAGTCGCTGCCAACGCCAACTGTTGTCAACCAGTTCAAGTTGCTCTCGCAAATCATGATCGCGCCTAATTCAGGCAATTTTCTTACTATCTTTAGATGTCGTCCGGATCACATTATGTGTTTTCTCCGTCGACTCGATCGGATGACTCGCGCGTATGTACGTTCTGTCTGTACTATTTTCTCTCTGAAAATGAGCCCAACTACACATTTCAATTCTCTTTGGGCTGATTCTAACGTCACTCAAATATATCTTTGAGTTTTGTCTCTGCATTCTAAGGACATTTTGTCAAATCAGTATGGGTTAAGGCATGGTTATGGCTACCTCAAGTCATCAATTCTGCACATTTTCAACATCTTGGACCTCATTTGTGCACATTTTCCAATATGTGAGAAATGTGCACAAACAGGGTTGGTGAAAACTATCACTTTATGATCAACCTCATTTGTGCACATTTCTCAGATATCGGAAAATGTGCGCAAACAGGGTTGGTGGAAATCACACTTTATGAGCAACCCCATTTGCGCACATTTTCCGATATGTGAGAAATGTGCACAAATGAGGTTGATCATAAAGTGATAGTTTCCACCAACCCTGTTTGTGCACATTTCTCACATATCGGAAAATGTGCGCAAATGGGGTTGCTCATAAAGTGTGATTTCCACCAACCCTGTTTGCGCACATTTTCCGATATGTGAGAAATGTGCACAAATGAGGTTGATCATAAAGTGATAGTTTCCACCAACCCTGTTTGCGCACATTTCTCACATATCGGAAAATGCGCACAAATGGGGTTGGTGAAAACTATCACTTTGTGATCAACCTCATTTGTGCACATTGCTCACATATCGGAAAATGTGTGCAAATGGGGTTGCTCATAAAGTGTGATTTCCACCAACCCTGTTTGCGCACATTTTCCGATATCTGAGAAATGTGCACAAACAGGGTTGGTCGAAATCACACTTTATGAGCAACCCCATTTGCACACATTTCTCACATATTGGAAAATGTGCACAAATGAGGTTGCTATGATCCCTCCTAGGTTCCGTTCCACCAAGAAAAACGGCATTCCTAGGTTTTCCCACGGTCCAGGACTGCCCCCGCCGCGCCGCCATCCTTCGATCCCTATGCCTGGCGCTCTAGGACTGCCGCCGCCAACACCACCGTCATTCGACCCCCCCACTCGCCACCATTTCTCACTATGCCTGGCGCTCTAGGACTGCCGCCGCCAACACCACCATCATTCGACCCCCCCATACACTGGCGCTCCACTGCTATACATGCATCTCCCTATGCCTGGTGCTCTAAGGACCGCCACCGCCGCACCACCATCATTCGACCCCCCTCCACAATCTCCCTGTGCACAGTGGCACTCTGAGACTGCCATCCATGCTGCATCATCATACATGATACATCATTTTCTCTACCCAAAAAAAAAAAAAAAAAAAAAAAAAAAAGACCCTGCACACAGTGGCACTCTAGGACTGCCACCACAGCACACCTTCTTATCATACATGCTAAACCCCCTCTAAAAATGACCCTGCACACACAGTGGCCATCCAGGAAGGCCACCATGCGTCATCATTCTCATCATATATACACTTCTCTGTCAAAAAATTGACCCCCACACACAGTGGCACTCTAGGACTGCCACAATGCGCATCTCACTGAAATGAACCATGCATCATGAATGCTGCTTCAATTCATGGTTGGCATCGAAAGACCACACACACAGTGGCACTCTAGGACTGCCACCATGCACTCCTTCAAAAAATATGTCACTATTCTCCATATTGTATATGAGATTGCCATGCGTACAACATTACATTTATGTATTCAAATGGTGGCGCTCGTACGCCTTCACAATATGTCCCTATTCTTGATGCTGTACACTGACTAAAATGAACCATGCATCAATGCCGCTAGACTGTCATTCATCACAAGCCTCCCTTTGTTTCACCAACCACTCATGTCCCCCCCATGAAAAACAAGAAAAAACCTGATACACACAGTGGCACTCTGAGATGGCCACCAATGCACACCCCTCCATTACTTAAATTCCCTTCATTTGACCACTCAAAAAAAAAACAAATTCAATTGTTCCCCCTTGGCATTCTACCCACCCCCCCCACACACAGTGGCACTCTGAAGACTGCCACCAATAAACATGCCCTTCATTTGACCGCTCAAAATGATGAGGAGTGGGCTGATGGTCAGAGGCCTGCTGCGCAAAGATACCATGTGCCAACAAGAAACAGTAGGTACATTTTTTCCAGCTACCATTGAAAACATACGTACAAACCCTCTCTGCAATTCCAAGAGGCAAAAGCTTCCTCCAGGCAAGTCCACAGTTTGAGTGATATCAGTTCTGTTCTTCAACTGTCGCTGTACTGTTTGCAATGCCACAACCTTGCTCGATGTGATGAGGACTGCAAGGCTGGTCAAGACTGCTTCCTGGTAATATTCTGGCTGGTGGCAGATGATGTATGTAGCTGCACTGTGTTTTTTTGGCATATGAGCGGTGCCACAGCATTAGAACCTGGAAAAAACATGTTCGCAAGTCTCCAGATCCTTATCCTTGATCCCAAGACCTTCTTGATAGAGAGTATGGTACTGTAGTTGGCAGCAACGATTGTGGGCGTGTCCATGAAAAGAGTTGACAACAAAATGATGATTCAGCCTCTTCACTTTGTCGAGGTGATTGAGCTGGCGGCTACAGTCTTTGAGAATGAACACTCAATGGTCATAACCAGTCACGCCATTGGGCCCATAGACGTCAATCAACTTGTTTGCTGTTGCGAGAGCATACTTCGTTCAACCCATACCTTGGTATCAAACCTTGGTCCAATAGTTTCAGTTTTCCCTCAGTGATTCATGAATCCACCATGTTTTGAAGAAAAGTCATATGTGAGATGGGAATCACATAATGACCTAGTTGATATGAGAAGCAAAATGAAGGTTAATGTATTGCCTTTCATTTGGCTTATTCACTTTGGCTAGAGAAACCCATAGAGAAAAGTTCAAAGCCTAACAAAAACCTATCTAAAAAGCCCGCGTATTGTGTACTATTATTTATTCCATTATTCCTGAGTTGTTTTCTCTAGTGTTTCTTTACTTTACTTTTCTATTAGGATGCTCATAAAATTGTACCTACAGGGTATGATGTCATAATGATGTCATAGGACTTCACCTACACTCCTGCAGGTATTTTGGTTGAAAGATATGATATCATAGTGATGTCATAATGATGTCATGTTCCATGGAATTTGCTAGAACATTCCAATGACTCATAATGACTCATAGTGACTCATAGTGACTCAGAATGATGTCATTATCCCACCATGAATATTCTGGAATGTTCTTTTGCACCTGCTAGAACATTCTGCTCCAGTTTTTGGAATATTCTTCTCACATTCTGAAGTCATTACATCACCTTTTTACTTACATAATATTCCCACACAAAATGTATATAAGGAGAGCCCATTCTCCCCCCCAAAAAATAGATCTCCCACTTGTTGCATTCAAGAACTCCCACTTGAGCAAATTGAACTCTCACCTAAGAAGCTTCAGTCTGAACAAATTGCTGCTTACAAAGCCCATTTCCTTTGTAAGAACTGTCCAGACAAGTGCAGGGAAAGTGTTTCCCTTGAGATTACGTAAGTTTCTCGCGATAGAAACCCAGTTTTGTGAGACCAGTGTTCTCACCACGTAGTGTTTACTGACCAACACGAGCTTTGGTCACCGTTGTTTTTTTTGTGAGACCAGCATTCTCACCAGGTATTTGTATACTGACCAACACGAGCTTTGGTCATTGTTGTTATTTGTCATTGTTTTATATTTGTCATTTGTTGTTATTTGTGAGACCAGCGTTCTCACCAGGTATTTGTATATTGACCAACACGAGCTTTGGTCCACGTAGTCACATTTGAGACCAGCTTCTCAACAGTTAACCGTATATTCAGGAAACCAGTTCAAGTGTCTAGACGGTATATCCTAGACAATCCCATAGTTTCAATCAGAGATAATAAAGCTCCGGCTAAGTTAATCTGACTGATTGGTTTAGCGAGCCTCCCAAGAACTCACACGTTATCTACCACGAAAGAAGAAAAGTCGTAGACCGTGTTAATCGAGGACTGGCAAGAAGTCTTATCCAGTGTAATTGTGGTGTCATTACATTCTTACACGTATTTATATAAGACCCTCGGTTATTAAGACAGCGGATGCGCTGGAGCTCTTTGGAGCACGAAATGATGAGGCCGGGAATAGGAATATCCCCGGACCCATACTCCTTGGCTACATCAGACTACCTAGATGTTAATGACAAAAAAGCACAAAAAAACAAATACATACCACAAGTGTAGCAACCTGTTTTCCCAAAGCCGAGTGGCTGGGACCCGGGGGAATCTGCCGGGCGGCACTGATGATGGCCATGATCTGGGCAGTGGATGCCTTGAGATTGGTCAAAGAGTTGTCAACTGGAGTGGACATGATGAGTGAGTTGAGAGATTTAAAGATCTTGAAATCAGATTGAAATCAGTTATCAGAAAGATGAAGTTTTAAAACAAACAAGACATTTGATGGGCAATCCACAAAATCGTTCATTGTTTGTGTTTTTTTGGTCATGGTTCAACTTTCGGCAATTGCCGGCTTTGTGTTGAACTTCGAAGTTTTTTAGATCATCAGTCAATCAGTCCACCAATTCTCCACACATGAGTTCTCATCCAGCCGTTAGATTTAATGACCCCCCGGTGACCGACTATACCACTATGGATGTGGATGACTCATCTATGGGCCGGGTATCACTAGGTATGTTGTATTCTTATCATGCCTTATCTATTCACCGGGTATCCCTTAGATGACTTAGATGACTTATACCTTGGGCCGGATGATGACATGGAATATGATTCTACATCATCCGGGCCCCCGGATGTGTCGGCTGCAATACCTGGTATGACTATACATTCCTTATGATCAGGGATCACCATGCATGCTCACTTCACCCTCACAGATCAATCACATCCAGGTCAAGCTGATGATGCCAGCTGTCTCATTGATCCAGACTTGTACCTCGGGCCTGAGGATGATGTCATTGATGTTTATGAGTTGCTGGATTCTGCTGACCCTCCCACTTTTGCTCCGGCTACCTCAGAGGTGTCTATGTCATGTGGGTCCATTCATTCCAGACCATTATTGATACTGATCTTATCTCCCAAGCCAACAAATCATCTACCAAACCTCGTGCAGACCTGCTGGAGCTTGATATTGAGGATGAACATTTGATGGTCCGGGAGCTCCATCCTTTCGGAAAATACCAACACCCAGAATATGAGTATCTGAAAGCAGAGCATTTATCTTTGTGCTAATCTTTCTGGAAGAACCAATCCGTCCAAGATCAACTCCATGATTACAAACACCATAATGGAGGTCTTCCTGACCCTTCCATCCAACAACTGATCGAGGCTGAGCGACCATTCCAAACTGCTTTGGCCGAAACATCCGACAAACTGAAAAAGCTGATGCATACCTGCAGAGGTTGCAAAGAGTTGGAACAGATGAGCATTGAAATGCTCAAGGTAGTAGATTCCATGATTGAACACTTTGAAGAACAAATGACCATGTAAAGTACTGTATTGCAACCTCTGAATTTTCACTGACATCCCACATCATGTACACTACCAAATTTCTCAATACATGTCCCTGGGTGTCGAACAGGACTCGAGACTCAATAGTCGGGGACTCAATACTCGATAGTCGGGAGTCGATGTTCGGGACTCAATGTTCGATATTCAGGACTTGATACTCAATAGTCGGGAGTCGATGTTCGGGGACTTGATGTTTGATATTCAGAAGTCGATAATCGGGACTAAGCACTCAGCACTCGATATTCAGGACTCGATGTTCGATGTTCAGGACTCAGTGTTTGACGAATCTCGGGCCTTCGGGTTCGGGACTTGAGGTTCGATAGTTGGAATTCGATGTTTGGGACTCAATAATTGATATTCAGTAGTCGGGACTCGGCATATCATATTAGGTCAGATATATGAAAGTTACACATCAACATGTAAATACAAGCAGGTAAAGGCAGGCAGTGTAGTATCAGTCCATTATTTCTTTCCCCTTGCTCTCATCACTCGAGGGCTTGTGTCCAATGGCTGTTGTGTTGACTTACTCCGGGTTGTCCTCGCCGATGGCTCAATCACCACTTTCTTTCCCCACATGTTTCTTCGGCGCTGGCGACCTATTGACTCTTTTGGTTGCACCATCCTCCTGAACATTGTCAGTGACTCTCTCAGTCAGTCCAGTCAGGAGGTTCGCCCATTCGTGATGTCAGCAGTGCACCAGTCTTCCCTGCATTGACCAGGCGAGGGCTTTGGAATTGCATGTGGGACCGCTGTCCCTTCATGTGCTGTTGAAGGACCAGGCTCTGTTCTGGGTCTCTTTTGTGGGGATCTACCTTCTAATGCGTCATCATCAGCATCATCCTCCATCTGATGAGTGTTGCCCTTGGGATTGCTCTCTGGATCACTCTCGTGATCGGTCTCGGGATCACTGTCAGTTTCGGTTGCCGAATTCTGAGGCCTTCGGATCATAACTTGTCTGACTTTACGAGTCCGATGAGAAGGCGAATCCCTAGATACAACCGAGGCTACCCTGTCCCCATCTCTGTTCTTCCATGCTTTGAACAGGAATGTTGGACCTTCCCCTTTCTCCTGCCGAGCATACCAGAAATTCAGTAAGGCGGTCGTGTCCCAATGTTGCAACTTCGAAGGTTCCTTCAAGTCCACATCCACCAGAACATACTTTCTTTGCCACAAAGTCATCCTGACTTTGTATGATGGCACTCCATGGCACAATACTGCCTTGTCAATCCCGGAACAGATACCTGTATAAATGCATTCAACAATGTTCGGGGTGTTGCGATGATGGACTCAAATAGTGAGATGTGAGAAAATGCTCTGACAATGGCTTTCTTCTCCTCGAGTTTCGTTTCGGTGATGTCGGGAAGCACTGGCATCCCATCCCCATCGATTTCTAGTTCGAAAGCAGGCTTCCTGATTCTCTTTTCACCTCCCTTCACCTGTTTGCCCACCATCTTGTGCCCCGGCACCTTATCATGGGACGAAGATCACTAATTCATTCCAGTAGCCAGAGATCAAACACTCACGGAATTGTTCCTGCGCATACTCCTGCCAAACTGGCTCAATGTCTCTCAGTCCTTTGTCTTCATGAAACTTTCCCCCATCTCCTAATGCCTCGTTATCATCGTGCCTGCCATGAAATGTATTGAGATCGAAGATCTGTTGATGATAAAATTGACTTACATCCCGAACAGCACCTCTCCCTGTTCATTCTTCCACGCCGACATCACAAACACTCTCATCCCACATTGCCTCCACATCTCCTTCGAAAAGTGCTCCATATACGCCCATCCCTTCTTACGAGCCACTTGTGCTTGTATCTCGGGAGGAGGAAAGTTGTTGGACCATTCTTCAGCCGTGTCTTTTGCCTTCTCCAACTCGTCGTCAGACAATTCAGCCATGACTCTTTTTACAGCTGCCTGATAATGCTTGAACATACTGGGACCTCCTGGCTTTGCCCCGGACTCGTCCTCAATCCTCTTCAGCACCTCCTCCCATTTCTGCTGGTAGATCACCTGCCTAGGAGTCCATTTACTCCCATACTTTATCATG